GTCACCAAAGAGAAGATATATCATTATATGGTAGCCATTTAGAAAATATGCACATACATACATACATATACTGATCCTGTTCAGATCCTTATTGTCATAAAGGAAAGACAATAAATCATTCTAAGGCTGTTTTCCCATACTGAACATATCAAAAGCACAAAGGCTTTACAAACTCTTTAAGAAAATCATGCACATACTGTATCAATTACAAGTGCCAACCTTCAACATTTCTTTAGTAAAGTTCTTCTAAGAACAGCCATTGAAAATATACTGTTACTAATTAACAGTGTGACTACAGTGATATGTAATGATGAATGGAAATTCATGGGCAAATGTTTACATCTGCTTCTGAACATGTACATTTTATCAAATTAAATATACATACAAAAAGAAAAGAAAAGAAAAGAAAAGAAAAAGTCATAGAAGACTATAAAGCTTTCCAGTTTTTGTCTCTGATGCCAAATTTTATGTTGCATTTATGCTTTAAATATATCTAATACAATAAATGTGAAAGTTACTGATTAAGATCAGTAAGCTGTATCATCATAACTACACAGCAAATAACTAGGTTATACATGGTGGCACCTATAACAAAAGAACAGCTAGCATTGTTTGCAAAAAAACATTCTGCTAAAGATATTATAAGTTATGTATCATTACAAAGGCCTATTACTATGGAGTGATATGTAACAACTTCGAGATCTCAAAGACAAAGCAATGATGAGCCTGTTTGATGTGGAATTTGAGTAACTGTAAAAAGAGATGTATTCTGTGTCCTGTATATCATGTGAAATGAACATTATCCAACCAAGGTATATCAAAGCAACTCCATAATAACCATGACAACACATACCTGAAGAAACCAAGTGTACACACAGCAATAGCAGACAAGAAAACTCCTCGGTGAATGCGAAGTAAATCAGCAAGCGCACCTGATGCAGCCTTTGCGAAGAGTCCAACAAAGGGTAGGATGGTGTAGATGAGGCCAATGCCGCAGGGGAAATACCCTGTTGTCGTGCATATACTGGCAGGAATGGAAGCACAGGTGCAGTGCCTAGGATAATGGAAAATGTTATAGGGTTGTCACTCAGATGGGATGAGTCATATCTTGAAGAGCTGTCTAACTTCTTTTAGCAAGGGAATATTAGTTCTCAACTTTCCAAACAAATTCATAATCTGAAATCATGCAGTCTGACATATCTCTAGTACCTCAACAAATAATCACACTTGCAACTGATGGTTACTGAAAAACTCAGGTTAGCAATTCTTATTAGTGCAATCAAACAAGCAAATGCATGCCCTAGTTGCAAATAAACAGGCACAATTCAACAACACTGGCAGAGGAATCTCAGTGACTCTCTATCTGGATGTAGTAAATGCTAAATTCTGCTACCATGATTATAACAAAAAATTAGCTACAATATATGTTTCTTCATTTTTCTTATAGGGATCAGTATAAAAAATTAATGAAAATTACAAGACTGCTACAGGAGCCCTTAAAATAGTCCTAGAAGCTGTTTATGTTACATCACAATACTTTTCAGAGAAGTTTCAGTTCTACATAGAAAACTCCCTGGGTAATATATTGACCATGCAGAATGGTGTATAGCTAAAACTAAAATAAAATAGTTACAGGTTAAATAAATATCCAGGAAAGGTCTTAATTCTTTACTAATTACTACTAATTACTAATTAAAGTGTTCATTACTACCTGATATAGCTCATATCAAATAACCTAACCAATATAAATAAAGTACCATATAAAATCTGATTTACAACACAATGATAACAAATAATAAACCTTAAAATGATTGTCATAACATGCTTCACCTTTCATAAACCCTATTTAGATTTAGATACAAAAGTTCCTCCCTACCATGAACTAACAATCTCAACAAAATTGACTTCCTAAAAATCAATATTGACAAACAGTACTTACCTGCAAACATTAAAAAGTAATGTGCCTTCATAGGCAGTAATTTCATGTTAATTTTCATCTTGCCTGTTCTACCAAATTTCCCTGAAAAAAAAAAAAATTACAATGGTTTCTATTATTAAACATCATCACAAAATCACTCTCAGAAAAACTGCTATTGCAGTAAGTATAATATCATAATAATTTCTCTAAGTTACATACATACAAATGTATACACTTGTATATATATATATATGTGTGTGTGTGTGTGTGTGTGTGTGTGTGTGGTGTTGTGTGTGTGTGTGTGTGTGTGTGTGTGTGTGTGTGTGTGTGTGTGTGTGTTGTGTGTGTGTTGTGTGTGTGTGTGTTGTGTGTGTGTGTGTGTGTGTGTGTGTGTGTGTGTGTGTGTGTGTGTGTGTGTGTGTGTGTGTGGTGTGTGTGTTGTGTGTGTGTGTGTGTGTGTGTGTGTGTGTGTGTTTGTGTGTGTGTTGTCTTTGTGTGTGTGTGTGTCTTTGTGTGTGTGTGTGTGTCTTTGTGTGTGTGTGTGTCTTTGTGTGTGTGTGTGTGTGTCTTTGTGTGTGTGTGTGTGTGTGTCTTTGTGTGTGTGTGTGTCTTTGTGTGTGTGTGTGTGTGTGTATTTGTGTGTGTGTGTGTGTATTTGTGGTGTGTTGTGTATTGTGTGTGTGTGTATTTGTGTGTGTGGTTATTTGTGTGTGTGTTATTTGTGTGTGTGTGTTTATTTGTGTGTGTGTGTTTATTTGTGTGTGTGTGTTTATTTGTGTGTGTGTGTTATTTGTGTGTGTGTGTGTTTATTTGTGTGTGTGGTGTGTGTGTGTGTGTGTGTGTGTGTGTGTGTGTGGTGTGTGTGTGTGTGTGTGTGTGTTGTGTGTGTTGTGTGTGTGTTGTGTGTGTGTGTGTGTTGTGTATGTGTGTGTGTATGTGTGTGTGTATGTGTGTGTGTGTGTATGTGTGTGTTGTGTGTGTTGTGTGTGTGTGTGTGTGTGTGTGTGTGTGTGTGTTGTGTGTGTGTGGTGTGTGTGTGTGTGTGTGTGTGTGTGTGTGTGTGTGTGTGTGTGTGTGTGTGTGTGTGTGTGTTGTATATATATATATATGTATATATATATATATATATATATATATATATATATATATATATATATATATATATATATATACATAATTTTCTCTTGAGTATGTAAAAATGTAACATGTGTCAACAGTACAATCTACATGTGGTAATTTCAGAATAGTTCCACCTAACAGATCATAAAATTTTGGTATTGAAAGATTACTCTCACTATCTACTATCCAAATATATAGAAATTATTACCCCCCCCCCCCCAATTGGTGACAATCTTGGCCCTGATAGCAGGGGAGGGCATGAAAGGTAACAGGGAGATTATGGGGTAAAATATCATAACATACACAGTATCAGTCACTATATTGTCTAATACAGTGACTGCGATCTCCCTATGGAAGGCTGCTGCAATGGAACACAAAGAATCCTCCACAAATTTATGGCAGGAGAGTGTATGACTGACATGCGGGAGCGTCCAATGGTGTGTCTATCCGACGCTCTCTCCTGCTATGAATATATGGAGAATTCTTTGTTTTCTGGACAGGTGTTGAGCATAGCAGCCACCCTATGGGAGGGACAATACAGTAACTTTCATTCCCTCCCCTGCTATCAGGACCAAAAATGTAGGTGTCTGGCGCATTTTCGTACTATAATTTCTAAGTATTTGGATTGTAGAGTGTGAGAGGAATCCATCAATACCAAAATCATTCTGATCCATCTGGTGGAATTTTTCTGTAAAATTACCCTATATAACTTTAAGGAATTAAAAAGTGCCAGTTTGATGTACTTGGCAACTTAAGAGCCTTCTTTTCTAGACAATTCTTTTTTAATTTTATGTTTAATGATTCTAGTTAATACAGAAATAATATGAACTCAGGCAATTCTTATATAACTAAACTATTATAGCTCAGTTTTCCAGGTTGGAACACATGCAAATGCTTAGTGTGAAACCAATCTTGAATTGCAGCTATGATCATTTTTGCATGCACCCAGTTTTCTTTCTTGAAGACATTTGAATTCCAAATAACTAACACAACAAAACAAAACAAAGTCCATCCATCTTTAAAAACAAATGAATAACTTTTAACTTTGTTAAAAGTGGAAAACTATTGCTGTTGCTCGAGCCATAAATGTCCTTTGCTCGCAGGTTGCAGTCCATTTATTTGTCATTGCTCGCTACGATGCATCCGCGAAAACCAATATACTTTTCAACTGGGACAGGTCTATCACAACAAAACTCATAGACAACAAGGCTTTTAAAATTACTTTATCCTTTAAATGGTGTAGTTTATTCTCCAGTACTCTATACTATCTCTAAAGTAAATAACAACCTTCTACTGCAATGATCCAATAGTGATGGCTGCGGTTTCACCAAATCCTTCTTCAGTTCTAATGAATTAATTGTAGCGATTACTATACAAGAACAGCAGTGTTTCTAATGATATAGTTAATCTGAATGGCCTTTAAAAGACCTTCGAAACTACCCCTTTAAGAAAAAAGTATTTATCTCTTTTTTTATGTATTCCTCGAGATGAAACATCTGTGAGGCCTTCTACAAAGTAGAGATACACAAGTATTCTAATATTTTAGAAGATAGATAGCATAAATAACTTAAAAATCACAAACACAAGTTTGGCCCTTAAAAAATCCTAACTTTCAGTAAACTCTGTAATTTATACTTATATCATCAACTATTACCTCATATACAGCAAATCAGCGAACACGGCACCGTGTTGTAGCGCGGTTTTCGATACGGGTCACGGGGCGTTAAAAGTATTAACTATAATATTAATTTTGCATGTATCATATATCAAAAGTACACCTAGAATATATCTATTGTTATCATTATATATGATTTTACTGGAGATTTGTTGCATAAGGCCCCAACTTTTTTACTTAACAATTATGTCACGCAAAACAAGAATACGTAACCCGCATTTAAGATTAGTTTGTCTTAGTTACTTATGTAAACAAAATTTGTTCAAATACCCATCTAACGCGTTGCTA